GTTGGCTGGTGGGGACAGGTAGACAAGCCATTCCCTAGTTACTTGCTCCCCGCTCTCACCGCCCCCAAGCTAGTAGATGGATAGCTGCTAGAGTTTGCTCTGTCCCTTGGGATCTTATATTGGACAGGTTTTTTCCCAGGTTTCAAGAGCAAGTTGGTCACTCAGATAAATGCCAATGATAAGTTAAACAAGAGTTGACACAAAGCTAGTTTCTCACAATGGGCAAAAGGGTGTAGTGTTTTCTATTGTCTTAGCTAGCTTTATGACAATGGGATAAAGGGGCACACAATATCTTCTATTGTGAGAAGCTAGCTTTCTCACAATGGGATATACAGTGTTGTTTGTTTATAGATGACCTCTATTGTTTAGAGTAAGCTTTGTGTCAATAGCATACCTAAACTGGTAACAGTAGCTTGACCTTTTGGCATAAATTCACCATAGATGGCATTTATGATGCTGTGCTGCCATCTAAAGTTGGAAAAAGAGAAATACACCTACCATAGAATTGAATGCAAGTGTAAAGGAGAGGCCCACAGGTGTTGGCTACCAATTTTAGAAAAAAAGCCAGGAGCCCAGATGAATAGTTAGGACTTTACTGAGGAACTTTGACCAGAACCTCAGAGGAACAGAGGACAACACTAAACCATGACAAGAAGCCAATTTTCTGAGAATGCTTAATCGCCATGAAGTCCTGTTCAATATGGAATTTGTAGACCAGCAACAACCAAAGCTAAGTGACTTTTACAGGGTAAAAATAGCTGATTTGGAAAGTGAGCTGAATTGGAGAATTTTTCCAAATCAGCTATTTTGGCCTAGATTGTTCACTTCTCCTGACTTCTCCAAACTCATCACCCTTTTGTGAATAACCCTGTTAGTGTTTCCTCTTATAGAATCTATTGCATGTGCTAGAGAAGGGTATAGTATATGCATTTGTATGTACAGAATGTATTGTTGCAGTCTGTATTTTGTATTGTTTTTACCCGTAACTATGTAGTTTATGCGCATAGCATTTTTGTATCGTAAAAGTACATGAAATACTAGTTCTGGGTCAGTTTCCTTGGTCTTACTACAAGAATCAGATAAACATATAGCTGTAAAAGTTTGCAAAGCAAAACATTTAGAAACATTATGACTGTAAGCGCTTGGACCAAGATTTAGAGAATTACTTTGCTGGACAATGTATACTGTATTTGTTTGATCTAGATTCATTATTGAAAAAAGTTTGAGAGCTTAATACTATTTTACAGCATGCTACTGAGTGATTTACTCTCTTGCTGCTGGGTGCTGCTTTGGGGCATATTAAAATTAAGATGTGAAATAACTCAGTGACATAAAATTCATATGACCCGTGCTGTTTATGTTGCACTAAACACAGCTAGCTACTATCTGCTGCCACCTTCAGTTACAATATAAAATGAAGGGAATAGATTTTGTCTGTTTAGCCCATGTCTTTTTATCACTGTATCTTGCACAGTAATATAGTCCAGTATCTTCAGTTTTCATGTTTTCCATTATTAGAGATGCCAGGTTATTACTGTTATCTCTGGAAACTGTAAATCGTCCTTTAACCGAATCATGATACTCTTTAGT